ACATTGAATTGACAGTAATTGTGTGCGTGCTGGTGGCCAAGTTAACATTGATTAGTTTACTATTCCTCTAGGTAAGGTTATATGGATAAGGTTGACCTTCCTCTAGTCAAGTTTATGGGTAAGTTTGACCTTCCTCTAGTCAAGTTTATGGGTAAGTTTGACTTTTTCAAGTCCTGGTTATGGATCAGTTGAACCTTCTCGGGTCAAGGTTATGGATTAGTTTGACCTTCCTCTAGTCAAGGTTATGTATTAGTTTGACCTTCCTCTAGTCACGGTTATGGATCAGTTTGACCGTCTCTAGTCAAGGTTATGGATCAGTCAAACTTTCTCTAATCAAGGTTATGGATTAGTTTGTCCTTCCTCTAATCAAGGTTATGGATTAGTTGAACCTTCTCTAGTCAAGGTTATGGATCAGTTGAACCTTCTCTATTCAACATTATGGATTAGTTGAACCTTCTCTAGTCAAGGTTATGGATTAGTTGGACTTGCTTTTAGTAAAGGTTATGGATTAGTTTGTCCTTCCTCTAATCAAGGTTATAGATCAGTTAAACCTTCTCTAGTCAACGTTATGGATCAGTTTGTCCTTCCTCTAATCAAGGTTATAGATTAGTTGGACCTTCTCTATTCAAGGTTAGGGATTAGTTGGACTTGCCTCTAGTCAATGTTATGGATTAGTTGGACTTGCCTCTAGTCAATGTTATGGATTAGTTTGTCCTTCCTCTAATTAAGGTTATGGATCAGTTGAACCTTCTCTAGTCATGGTTATGGATCAGTTGAACCTTCTCTAGTCAAGGTTATGGATTAGTTGGACCTTCTCTAGTCAAGGTTAGGGATTAGTTGAACTTGTCTCTAGTCAATGTTATAGTTTAGTTGGACTTGCCTCTAGTCAAGGTTATGGATTAGTTTGTCCTTCCTCTAATCAAGGTTATGGATCAGTTGAACCTTCTCTAATCAAGGTTATGGATTAGGTTGACCTTTCCTTGGTCCAAGTTAAAGATGTTTGAATTTCTTCTAGTCAATGTTATAAGTAAGGACACACAGATTAAAATCTTAGCCTTCCTTGTTATTCAATCTCGAGAGGTTTAAGACCAAACATTTGATAATTATAGACAATAATACAGCAATATAATGTTAAAGGCCAGAAATGAAGAATTTGCTTTGGTGTTCAAAGTTTTAGCACCCTATGATACCTGTATGTAAAACACCTTTATACTCTGATGTATTGCCAGCAAATAAATAAGGTGCCTGATTGTACATCTGATAAAATAGCGCTTATCATCAGTTTGTTGACTGAAAATGCTCTTGGAAGTTCATTTTGTTATCAAAAATGCAGATAGAGTAAAATTGTCCTACCCTCTTTCCAACTCAATGGATCATAGCTGGTACTGTCACTGTTCTAGCCTCTCTCTAACACCATGGATCATTTCTGGTACTGTCACTGTCCTAGACTATCTCCAACACAATGGATCATAGCTGGTACTGTCACTGTCCTAGCCTCTCTCCAACACCATGGATCATTTCTGGTACTGTCACTGACCTAGACTATCTCCAACACAATGGATCATTTCTGGTACTGTCAGTGTCCTAGCCTCTCTCCAACACAATGGATCATAGCTGGTACTGCCACTGTCCTAGCCTATCTCCAACAAAATGGATCATTTCTGGTACTGTCACTGTCCTAGACTATCTCCAACAAAATGGATCATTTCTGATACTGTCACTGTCCTAGACTATCTCCAACACAATGGATCATAGCTGGTACTGTCACTGTCCTAGCCTCTCATACACAATAGATCATAGCTGGTATTGTCACTGTCCTAGCCTATCTCCAACACAATGGATCATAGCTGGTACTGTCACTGTCCTAGCCTCTCTCCAACACCATGGATCATTTCTGGTACTGTCACTGTCCTAG